GACCACAAGGTCAGCAGTTCGAAACTACCAGCTGTTCCACAGGAGAAAAATGAGGCGTTCTGCTCCCGTAAAGATTTACAGCCTCAGAAACCCTGTGCAGGGTCACTATGAGTCGGAACCGACTCCATGGCACACAGCCACCATGACTAGTGTTGCTGTGAGCAAATTCTTGTGTGGATATATGTTTTCAGTTCTTTTGAGTATATAAGAGAGGAATTTTGAGGTAATATGGAAACTCTAGGAGCTCTAGTGGTACTGTGGGTTAGTTATTGAACTGATAACCATAAGATTGGTGGTTCAAACTCACCAGCTACTTTGCAGGGGAAAGATGAACCTATCTGCTGTCATAAAGATTTAGTATTGGAAACCTTGGATAAGGTTGCTATGAGGCAGAATTGACTCAGGAACAGTGTTTTTTGTTGTAGTTGTTATGGAAACTCTATGAGGTAGTTTTACCCTGTCATGTAGGATCACTATGAGTCAGATTCTACTCAATAATATGCAATAACATCAACAATAACATGGTAACTCTTAGGTTTAATTTTCTGATGAACTGTGAAGTTGATTTCCAAAGCACCTATACCACAAATGTGGCAGTGAAGTCTAGATCTGCCCATGGTAGTAACCATGACAACAACCATTTGTCCGACACCTACTATGGACACACATTAATTGCACGTTCACGTGGCAATTTATACTTGGTGATCAGCCAACAATTGAGTTAATGAATGATGATATGCCTATAGAGGCCAAGCAAACAAACAAAAGATATGATTGAGGAGTGGCAACTTTATAGCAAGTCACCTGGCAATGGTGGGGGCTGTGAATCACCTGAAACACAGCTAACCTCAGTTCTGGCTAATTGTGACCATGCTAGAATCTCAAGTTCATTACTGTGTTCCTGATCTCAATGAAGCCTGATAACAATCCTATGGAAGAAGTGTCCTTCTCCCCATTTTACAGATGAGAAAACTGAGTCCCAAAAAAGCCAAGTCCCTTGTCTAGCATCAGTGGTAAAGACAGGATTTGAACCTGATCAAGTAATCCCAGAGTCAGCTTTTCGGGGATTTGTAGGAACAGATTGCAAACTGGCTAGCACGTTGGATTATTTACACCACACAGTGGTTCTTGAAAATGTTAAGAGATTGCCAACATTTAAAAACTGATTGCTTTCCATTTTACAAATCAACATTCCCAGTTAATCTAGAAAAATCAGAATAGGCCATACTGAGCTGAGGTTGGCTATCCAAATTTACAGCACCCACACATATGTACACACAAACACACACTTCTACCATCACTACCACCATTCTGTTCCTGTTTGGTCTGTGGGTGTCATTCATTCATTCATTCATTTTTCCATCCATTCATTCACCCAACCTTTGCTGAGCACTTTCTGTATGCTAAACACTGAGGACCCAGTAAACAAACCAGACAAACATCCCTACCCTTATGGGTCTTAAATTCATCCAAGGGGAGACAGAAAATAAACAAGTAAATAAGTAAAATAAGAATGAAAGGGAGTGTTGGGACATAAGTATTTCTTCTAGCTTTTTCTTTTGAGAACTTTTTTTAAATAGTACAATGGACTCTCGATACAATGTATTTAGATTCACCATTTATTAATATTTGCTTGATCTCTTCACACATACACACATTGGCGCTTTATTGCTGACCTACTTGAAAATCAGTTATAAATCTTATTACCTTTCATCTCTAAACACTTTAGCATGTATCTCCCAAGAACAAGGACAGTCTCCTATATTGTCACATTAGTATTACATTGTCTGGGGTAGTGGTGACTTAGTGGTAGAATTCTCACTTCCATGTGGAGTCCTGATTATGTGGCTGCTAACCACAATGTTGGCAGTTCAAACCCACCAGCCATTCCTCACAAGCCCTATACAGGTTTGCTATGCGTTGGAACCTACTCTGTGGCACTTAACAACAACAATGTGAGAGGCCCAGGTTAGATTCCCAGACAGTTCCTCAGTGCAGCCATGACCCATCTATCAGTGAAGCCTTTCATGCTGCTAAAATGCTAAACAGATTTCAGTGGCGCTTTCAGACTTAGACAGACTAGAAATAAAGACCTGTTGACCTGCTTTTAAATATCAGCCAATAAAAACCCCATGGATCAAAAAACAAACAAACAAGATTTTTGAAAGGTAAGGAAAAATAAGACGAAAAAGAAAGAAAAAAAGGAAACAAAAACTCTATAGATCACAATGTTCTGATCTACACCTGACCATGGAGGATAGCTCAGGATGAAGCAGTATCTTTTTCTGTTTGCATACGGTGGCAAAAAGCCAGGGGTTGACCCAATGGCAGCTAACAGCAACATGTACCATAGAGTTCAGTTCTGGGCTCAGAGATGTTCCAACAGGTATTTCCCCAAATGAAGGTCCTGTGAGACTTTAAAAAGTCCTTCAGGACCTGGGACAGTTCTTCTAAGGGCCTGATTCTCCAGGTGTGGAGTACAAACATCCATGGCACTGCCCACTGAATATCCATCTCTGCCCTCTGTGTGGCAACCAGAACTGAGAACACAAATTTCCCAAATGCCCATGGTTCTGTTTAGGGATGAAGAAGAGGGCAGATATGGACATAAGATCCTCGGATCAGTTGATTGCGAAGGAGGAATTTATGTATAAAAACGCTCTTGGCAATGTTGATTTTGAAATCTCTCCACTGGAATCAAGCTGGATCCACATACAGAGCTTGGTCATGTATGTGGATGAAGAAGTGGGGAACTGAGAAGTGGGGAACACCATATTTAAGTAATCCAATGCTTAAGACCATCCTCGAGAGGTTTTATATTTATCTTCATTTTACAGATTACACAAGAAAGGAGTTAAATGAGAAGGCAATGTCATAAGGTCCAAGAGATTGGATTTCAGCCCTGTCTCTATCTGGGTGGTCTTGGAGCAAGTTTCATCCCTTAGGCCTCAAGATGTTCATTTACTGTTGTTGTCACGTACCATTGAGTCGGTTCCGACTCACAGCGATCCTGTATGGGATTTCCAAGGAATAGCTGGTTAGTTTGAACTGTCAACCTTATGGTCCAAACCGACTTTGCAGTGCTTTATTCCACAATGACATAAAGTGAGACTAATGCTTAATGGAGTCCCAGGATGGAGCTGTAAGATAAGCTCTGGACTGCTAACCACAGATCACAGCAGTTCAAACCCATCAACCACTCCACAGGGTAGCTATGAGTTGGAACCAACTTGACAGTCCTTAACAACAATGTTTAATAATGCCTTCTTCCAGAGCTGGGAGTCAAAGTATTTAACAATATAGAAGGCCTGGGCACCAATGCAAGCTAAGGCTCTACATTAAGCCTTTAAGAGCTGGATGAATGGGAGATACCAGGGCTTTCATGAGCATGGAACATGTGGCCAAAAAACTACTGAGGGGACTTAGAGTACTAGCTATTTATTTATCAGCCAACATGGAAGTATTTCATTGTTCCAACAGCTGGTAGGGCCATATTGGAGCCCTGATGTTGCCGTGGTTAAATGCTAAGCTGTTAACCAAAAGGTTGTGGTTCAAACCCACCAAATACTTTGCAGGAGGAAGTTGAAACAGTCTGCTCCCATGAAGATTTGCAGCCTTGGAAACCAGATGGGGCAGTTCTACTCTGATCTATAGGGTTTCTATGAGTCAGAATACACTAAACGGCAATGGATTTCATTTGGGGAGTGGGATTTAGAGTCATATTAGAGCAATGGTGGCTCAGTGGTGAAATTCTCACCTTCCATTTGGGGGGTCCAGGTTGGTTTCTGAACCAGTGCACTACCCATCTGGGTTTCCAACACCCATCTCAGTGGAAGTTTGCATGTTGCCATGATGCTGTTCAGGCTTTAGGAGACCTTCAAGACTAAGACAGAGTAGGAAGAAAGGCCTGGTGATCTTTCTGAAAATCAGCCAGTGAAATCAATTACAACGCTCTGATTCCATTGTGCATAGGATTGCCGTATGGTGGGAGCCAACTGAAGAGCAGCAGAGCCATATTGGTGTGTGCCCAGAAGATACATTGAACCTGATCTTGGACAATTGAAAGAGCAGGGTTATGAGAATACCTGGGGCTATAAGCCCGGGACTAATATTATCATCAAGGAGCTCTGATAGCGTAGTGGTTATGAACTGGGCTGTGAACTGCAAGGTCAGCAGTTCGAAACTACCAGCTGTTCCGCAGGAGAGAGATGAGGCTTTCTGCTCCCGTAAAGATTTACAGCCTCAGAAACCCTGTACAGGGTGGCTATGAGTTGGAACCGATTCCACGGCACTTAACAACAACAACAACATTATCATCAGAGTCCTAGTGTGGCGCTGTGGGATAATGCACAGCTGCAAGGTCAGTTTGGACTGCAAGGTCGGCAGTTCAATTTCACCAGCTGCTCCTCGGAAACCCTATACACAGGGTCACTATGAGTCTGAACTGATTCGAAGGTACTTAACAACTATAATGTAATAGTCAGCACTTTGAAGCAGCTTGGACTGATTCAGCCATTACTGGTGACGTGTAATCAGAATAGGTACAATTTTGTTAATTTGGGTGAAACAACAATAACTGGAATGGGAAATTTTACACACCCAATCTCTTAAATGAGATACTTGGAAAAGTGGCGTAGTGAGCCCTTTTGGGAACCTAATGTGGGTGACTGGATTATTGGCCCGACTCTGGAAAGCTAGTGCACTCAAAGTGTGCTGTCTTTGAGTAGAGCACCATTGTTTCTGATTCTGCTTGTCAAAGACATCTGGTTGCTATGCAACAGGCACACCACCCTTGTTTTCTAAAAGGGGGATTAAGTTTCCCACAGGGTCTCAACCTGTGATTTTCCCCATTTCGGTTATTGTTTGCTTCACCTACATTTAACAAATTCGAGTCCATTCTAGTTTTGATTTGTGAGCCATACCTGAACCAGTCCAAAGCCATGATTGTTATTCAGTCTCCGATCATAGCCCTAAAGACTTCCCTCTCACTCTCCACGCAGGCCAAGCTGATTGTCCCCAACAGCACAGCCGGCCTGATCATCGGCAAAGGGGGCGCGACGGTGAAAGCCGTGATGGAACAGTCGGGTGCCTGGGTGCAGCTGTCCCAGAAACCAGAGGGCATCAATCTGCAAGAGCGCGTGGTGACAGTCAGTGGTGAGCCCGAGCAGGTGCACAAGGCCGTGAGCGCCATCGTGCAGAAGGTCCAGGAAGACCCTCAGAGCAGCAGCTGCCTCAACATCAGCTACGCCAACGTGGCCGGCCCTGTAGCCAACTCCAACCCCACCGGCTCACCGTACGCCAGCCCCGCTGACGTGTTGCCTGCTGCAGCCGCCGCCTCCGCTGCTGCCGCTTCTGGCCTGCTGGGCCCAGCAGGGTTGGCAGGCGTGGGAGCCTTTCCTGCCGCCCTGCCTGCCTTCTCCGGCACCGATCTGCTGGCGATCAGCACAGCGCTCAACACGCTGGCCAGCTATGGCTACAACACCAACTCCCTTGGTCTGGGCCTCAATTCGGCCGCAGCCTCCGGCGTCCTGGCTGCTGTTGCCGCTGGTGCCAACCCTGCTGCTGCTGCCGCTGCCAACCTCTTAGCGTCCTACGCTGGGGAGGCAGGGGCTGGGCCAGCTGGAGGGGCCGCCCCACCTCCGCCCCCACCACCCGGAGCCCTGGGCTCCTTTGCTTTGGCCGCAGCCGCCAATGGCTACCTCGGGGCTGGGGCAGGCGGGGGTGCAGGTGGAGGAGGTGGGCCACTGGTGGCCGCGGCGGCCGCGGCGGGGGCAGCTGGGGGCTTCCTGACAGCAGAGAAGTTGGCAGCTGAAAGTGCCAAGGAGCTGGTGGAGATCGCGGTGCCTGAGAACCTGGTGGGAGCCATCCTGGGCAAGGGGGGCAAGACGTTGGTGGAGTACCAGGAGCTCACAGGCGCCCGCATCCAGATCTCCAAGAAAGGAGAGTTCCTGCCAGGCACGCGGAACCGGCGGGTCACCATCACGGGCAGCCCCGCGGCCACGCAAGCAGCCCAATACCTCATCAGCCAGCGGGTCACCTATGAGCAGGGGGTGAGGGCTTCAAACCCCCAGAAAGTGGGATGAGGCCTGTGGTGTGTGCTCCCACCCTATCCCTGTCCCTCCTCCTCCTCCTCCTACTTCCTCCCCCAACTCCTGACCTCAGCTTGGTGTAGTCCTGCTTCTTATGGGATGGGGCTGGGGTAGGCCTGACCGAACCCCCGCCTTCTGGTAGTCATAGGCAGGATTGAGTACTGGCTGGGGTTGGGGCCCAGAAGCCCCCTCCCCAGCCTGGAACTGACCCCTTTCCTCATCCCTGTGCTTGTCTGGGCCTGATCGCCCCTCCCAGGGCCCAGGTCTGTGTGATATCTGTATATATTGCATTTTGTTGATTTTAATAGAAAACAAAGCGTTATTTTCTCTTTCTTTCCCTCTTTTTTTTTTTTTTTTTTCCTTGATGAGGAATTCTTTTTTGTTTCCTTTTTTATATTTTTGTTTCCACATGGGAGGAGGGGAGGGAGCCTCTGGGTCACCTGGATTGAGGGGCCTCCTCAAAACACAACACTCCACCTCTCCTGCCTTCAGTTCCAGATCTGAGGGAAGTGATGGGAGAAGAGACAGTGGAGGAGTCTGAGCTGAAGTGGGACCTTTGGTGTAGGGACCCCATAGATCCCAGGTTGTCTCAGCTACTCTCTCGCCCCCCCACCAGAGTTGCCCCCTCTAGGTGGGAATTTTCATTCTTTTGTTGTCAGGTTGTATTGGGGGTAGGGGTGGCTGCTGGGAAATGAGGTTGGCTCTGGGATTGGCCCAGTCCCATGGGCAAGACTCTTAGGGGCATTTGGAGCAACTTCCTCTGGAAAGTACTGTGGCTTTTTCTAAAGTAATGGGAATGAGTATCCCTGTTGTGATGTCACTAAAAGCCAAGTACTTAATTTATGATGTCACAGGAAGCAGTTCACCAAAGGTTACTTCTTATGATAACAAGAGGGACAGGTATTTCCTATGATGTTTCTCAAAGGTCATTTCAGTGATATCATGGGAGAGTGTACTTCCTGTGATGTCTTGAGGTCACTTCCTAAGAGATCTCGAGGTCACTTCCAATGATGTCACTGGGTTGAAACATCTGTCTCCTGTGTTGGGTCATGGCCAACCACTGACCCTTTCTCTACCTACATCCCACTTTGGTGGGATGATGGCCTGGGAGATCTTCCCAGGAGGAGAAGAGGGGTGACTTGGATTCAGTCTGGACGACTCTAAAAAAATTTTTTTAAAGACCCAATACCATTAGGGTCATCTCCATCCAAATATAACAAGTCTTGAACTCACCCTCGCAGGGAGAGTAGAAGATGGAGCTAGCGAAAACTACCGTTAAAGACCCCCTGTTCCCATCCCCACCTTTTGTATGCATGCTTGTGTCTGCGTGGCTTTGTTTCATTGAGTCTGGTGAGCCGAATGTATAGTAGCTCTTGTCAGACCAGTGTGGCTCGGTTGTAGGGTTCAGTGAGTCTCGGTAGAATCATCTGATCTGGAATGCCCTGTGGGGTCTGACACGTTAAATTTGCCTAGTGGCTTTTGGCAAGCTGGCATGCTTTGGTGGTGTCTGATAGATCAGAACGTTGTGGTGTTGTGGTTCACCGGGGGCTAGAAGTTGTAATGGTGGCTGACAAGCTAGGCAGCCCTGGGAGCCACTTTGGGTGTGGTCCCTTGAGCATGGTGACTGTGTTCTGCTCTAGGGACCTCTTGGTGTGTTGAAATTTTAGGGCCTGACAACCGTATGGACTTAGGATAGCTGAGACCCATCTCCACCCCCATATACATCCCCTTGCTCCTTGGAGACACCTCCACTTTCTCCAACCCAAAGCAGGGCCTCTAGTGCCCTAGTTCCATCATCAGCATTTCTGGGGGAGGGACATCCCATGCCCATCCTCTCCCCATTTGTCCTCCTCCTAGGTCTTCCAGACCCTTCTCTTCTCCATGGCTTTGGGGGCCAGGCCGCCTCATCTCTCTCTCTCAAAAGAAAGGAGGGAAGAAAAGCTACAGAGACCATTCTCACTCCTAAAGCCAGGGAGATTCCTTCCCCTCGCTAGAGGGCCTCCCCCAGATCAAAATGTGAAAATCCCTAGAAAGCAATAGCCTTTGAGGTACTTTGCACTGAATCCCCCCCAGCCCAACCCTTCTACCCGATGGGCACCAAGGTGGCTTTTCTGTGCCCTCTTCATATCCATGTGGGAGCCAGCTCCCCCCGTTTCCTGTACCCTCATCACCTTCTGCCCCCTAATCTCCAGACTGAACCCAGATGGAGATCTGAGTGCCAAAATAATTCTTGATGTAACTTTGTACATATCTTCTGCAGTTGTTGGCTCTTGGGGTTGGGGGTGGGTTGGCTCCATGGGCCATGGTTCCCTTCCACTGCTCAAAAGACCTTACAGTATTTCACAGTATCTCCATCCATGCATGGGTATTGCAGTATCTAGCTAATATATCCCCCTATACTCCCCCAAGCCCCCATGAGGAGAGGAAGGATCCTGGGAGAAGTAAAGTTTGGGCTCGGGGAGGTGGGATCTGAAGCGCTCATTTGCATTCTCTGCTTCCCTGGCAGATGATTTCCATAGAACCATTCAGGGAAGTCTGGATCCAAGTTAGGGGGCATCCAGTACTTCTGTCTCACACAGATAACATCTCTGGAGGCTGGGCCTCCTGAAAAGTGTTCCCTTGGGGTGTCTATGTGACACTCTTGCTTATTCTTATTCACATTTCTTGGGGAACCCTTCCCCTCCAGCCAGGGATTATCAGTTGGTGAGTGGGGAGCCACATATCTTTCCCCATTTTCCCCCAGGAACTCAATTCACTGTCTTCCCCATCCCATGAAAGTCCCTTCTGCAATCTGACCTCAAACTTTTGTGCTGCAGTTTGTCCAGAGGGGACACGCAAGTGGAGTCAGAGATGGGGCTTATTGAAAATTCCATTAGCCAATCAGATCTCGGAGACTCTGATGACCTCCCTGCACCCTACTCTTCAGCACCCAATAGGTGCTTCATAAGTGTTTGCTGCATTGAAATTGTCTCCCTGTTCCTTCCCATTTGCCCTCCAGCGCCTTACATCTCCCAACATCTCCCTCTTGCTTTCTTTGGCTCCCTATGACTTTCTGTTTTATCTCCCTGTGTCTCCTACTGTTGTCTGTCCTGTCTCTAACTTTGTCTGTCTGTCTTCCTCCTCTCCACAACTCTTTCCATTCTTCCTCCCTCACCTCATTTCCCCTTTGATTAAAAAAAAGAAGAAGAAAGTGCCAAACTTCCTTGGAACTGAGCCGCTCTGGGAGGGGGCAGGGGAAAGAGGACCTCAGACAGAGGGGAGGAAATAGGACCATCTCTCTTGGAGAAGGTTCCTAAAAGGCATTGAAAAAGTCTGTGAACACTTAGCTAAACTGGGTCCCCCTTCCTTAACCCTCCCACCCCGATTTTCTTAGAATCTTTGTAAGAAAAAAAGAAAAAGGAAAAAAAAAAACCTTTCCTCTTCAGCTTAACTCCTCTACCCTTTTGGATCCCCCAAATTCCACCAGCCGGGGAGAACCCCATTTGCCTCCTTTGGGCAAATCTGTAGAAACTGGGAAGGGGGAGCTATGTAAAACCCCTCTTCTGCTGGCCCTAGGGGCGGTGCCAGCTGGACTCAGAGAAAAGGGTCTCAAAGCACTTATGAGAAGAAGGGGTTCAATGTGCCAAATTCACCTCCTTCATCCCCCGTCTCAGGGGGCTCTGAGCCAACCTGCCCCAACCACCTTCTTCTGCCCTGCCCCAGCCACCTCTACAAGGGCAAAGAGGCGTCACCGCAATAATTAGTAGGGGGCAGGAATCAGAAGGCTATTGTGCCATCTTTATCTGCTCTGACGCCTGCCCTGGACTGGGAAATGGGAACCAGGGGTAGTCTAAACAGCGTTTGGTAAGAGTCGACTTATAGACGGTTGGGAACTTATACTTGGAACAATATGGTACCACTTTTCTCTTAGTGGTATTTCTTCTCTTCTTAACCACCTCCCCAAGTCCCTCCGTATCCCTTATTTTGTTTCTCCTGCTTGTTTCCTCATTTTGTTTCTGCATGGTGGCCAATTGTTTGCCAAGTGAGAGAAGTCCCCTTTGCACTGATAATTGCTGTTTCGAGACCAAGAGTAGAGATTGTAGTAGACTGTGTGGTCTTTTGGGCGTCCAGGCTGCTGATTGGGTTCAGGCGCTATCGCACAGACTGTCATGAAGGCAGTCCTGAACCTGGGGCCGCCTATTGCGCGTGAAAGCCTGAACTAGATGTCGCTGGGGAGAACGGAATTGCGAGTCCCACTTGGTGGTTTCGGGACAATGGTTTTAAGCTCTGGTGAAGCCTGGACACCCAACCCTGCCTTCACGATCCCTCTCCACTGCAGTAGCTGTCTGGACGCCTGTGGGGAGGGGGCTTCGTGTCCTTGGCGCCGCTGCTGTTGGGTGTGGTCACCAGTAGTGGTGGCCCGGAGGGTGATGGGAGAAGTCTCTGTAGGGGGTGTGTGATGTAGGCTGCTGGTTTTTAACCCCTTCTCAGCCAATCCAGGACACTCTTGTTTCCCAGAGATAATTTGGGGGGACCGCCTAATCCCCCTCCTCCACCTCCTTCTGCCTCACCCCACCCCACCCCCTCAAAACCACCAACCTCTCATCTTCTAAGTGACTCCATCACCACCAGCCACCGGGACCTTCGGCCTCATTGCTCCAGCCCGCCCCACTCGACAGTCAGACTCGCTCATCGAACTCTTTTTGATTAACCCTTTCTGTGTTCATCCCACGGAAAACTGTGTGTCCGGCGGGGGTGGGGGGGCAGGGGGAGGCGAGGGGCTGTGGCTACCTCCTTTCCTCCATCTCCCACCGCCCATGCCTCCCTATCCGCACCCCATCCCATGCCCTACTCCTCACCCCTAAGTCCGCCCTCCCCCATGGAGGGGGGGGAGATGGAGATCCTCTATAAATATCTATGCTGTTTGGCTTTGTCCCTTTAAAAGGCGGGGCCAGGGGCGTGGCCTCCCCAGAGGTGCGGTCACACCGGGGGTGTCCCACTATTCCCTCCTCCGGCTCTCCCCACTCCCCACCCCTTCATTGTAAATAATCACTTTTGTACTGGGTTTGAGCCAGGGGACGTGGGGAGTCATTTTTTTTCTTTGTGTTGGCATCTCCGGCCACTGGAGGCATGGTCCGCATCCTGTTTTGATTTGGGAGAATCTCAAGGTGGGTCCCTTCACCTATCAGCCTATACTAAGGATTTCAAAAGAACAGTATTAGTATAGATCCCTGGTGTGGAGGCAAAGAATAGCTTAGTCTGACAGTATGACTCCGTTTTCCCCATCTGTGAAATTAATTTGTTCTCCAAGGTCTCTGGTGATCCCGAGTTAAACCATGGGGAAGTCAGGGGAG